TGCTTCTCTAATAGGTAACACAACTGCTATCTAAATAAAGAATTTCGGAGTTACCATTAAACTTACGCTACGTATTCTACCAAGTTTGTCGCCGTTTGATTCATCTTGATTATCTAAACAAAATATTTATGTTGAACAAAATGAAAATAATAATTTATACAGTTAGGTATCTATAACAAGTGGGTTAGTCATGGCAAAAAAAAATGCCGCGATTACGCAATCGGCGATCACTTCCAGGTTCATCGATAAATCATATGTTACACGAAACCATACCAATATACTACAGCATTATTAAGATATCAGGCTACATCGTTTAAGATCACTCCGACTATGTTCGGAAATGACGTATCTCGGCATTTTTTTTGCCATGACTAACCTATCTATCAAAAACATTTTCAGTTACCTTCATTATTCACGTTTATAATTTCAATTGTATTATTAAAGGAATTCGATCGTTCTGAATAATTTGATATTGACTGTGTAGTAATAAATTCAACATTCAAATTTTTTGAAATTTCATCTAGTGCAGAATCACGAGTGATATCATTTTTTGAATTTGCGTCGTTGTTAGATTCAATTTTATTATCTAAATTTTGAAAATCACAAATAATTAAATAAAACAAACAATAAAATTAGTGTGTGGATATTATACTACTATTACATTTATTGGATAAATACCAACCAAGAAATATTTGTGACTCACAAATATTGTCACTGGATTCTAGATAAAATATTCATGTTATTAAAAGCTTAATTTAATAAAAACGTATAAAATGCCCATAATCAGGTTTATTTTGTATATGGAATGTGTTGATTACCTTCATCACGATTAAAGAATTCCAATGAATCTTCATTATTTAGCACTGATTGCACAATTTGTTTATTGCTCTTGACATTTTTATTCGTTATAAATTCAATAGTAGTTTCTTCTGATAAATTCTCAAGTTTTATTAAAATTTGATCTAGCGTTGGACGTTGATTCGGTTCATAAGACAAAGATTTCTCGATGAGATAAGCGTAAGCTGATGGCGTATTAGCAATAATTTTTTCTCTTTCGTTTTGTGAAATTTTAATTATTATAGCCTCACTGTGAAGATTATGAAATGGAGGAACTCCACTTGTAAGCTCCCATAGCAATACTCCTAGGCTATAAATATCTGACTTTCATTGCGTTTAACTCTAAATTGGAGGTATTGTGGGTCAGTATATGCTACCATGCCTCTTGTATTAGAGCTTGATTCGGTAGTATCATTTAATTGTTTCGATATTCCAAAGTCTGCGATTAAAGCCTTTCCATTATTTATTAAAATGTTTTTGGAATGCTAGAGAAATTAAGACTTAGGATTAAGTTCAAATTTAAATTGATATTGAAATTTAAAATACTGCAAAAATAAAACTCACTAGGTCACGGTGTACGATGTGATTAGTATGCAAATGTGTTAATCCAAGAGTAATTTCCTTTGCAATTTGGATGAGTTCACTCCACGAAATTTTATAAACCTCCTCTTGTTGTTTTCTTTGTAAATGATCCCGTAAATTTCCTCCGTTTGCAAACTGCAATACCAGCGTAAAATTACCGCTCAATGTGTCTAAATTATTCATCAAATTTATAATTTATAATTTATAATTCAATTATATAGGTATATAATAAAGTTATTTAATTTTGGACCTTCATTGTATATAAGTACCTATCGAAATTCCATAGAATTCAATAATATTTGGATGACAAACTTGATGACAAACTTTATACAAACTTTTAAGCTGTACATAATTGTTCATTATATACAAATTGTTAATTTTGATCTTAAAAAAAAACAAACAAAATAATGAATAACTTATTACCTCACGTTTGATTTGTTTGACTCTTTTTTCATCTAACCACAGGTTATTGTTTAGACTCTCCAGAACATATTTCTTTCCTTGAAAATTGGTCGAGTATACGATTGCAGATCCTCCTCGTCCAATAATTTTCAGTTCGCTAAATTGCGAGTAATTAAAGCTTTTTATCTTGATACTTTTCAGATACGCTTCCAATTCTGAATAATCACCAACTAATATTTCATGAAAATTCATTATAGACATATTAATTAAGTATTTAAATCATTATTAATGCGGTAGCTTACGCGCTTTCTCCGGCATTTTTATTTTATATGAATTAAGAAATTTTCAAATAGCTTATATCGAGTGAATACGTAGCGTAAGTTTAATGGTAACTCCGAAATTCTTTATTTAGATAGCAGTTGTGTTACCTATTAGAGAAGCA